GAATAGGAGAACAGAGGACTCTATGGAAGTCAATAAAAAATAGGCGAGATAGGTTGGTAGGACACCTTCTCAGGCATGAAGGTCTAGTCAGAGACATATTAGAGGCAGAAACAGGAGTTAGGAGGAGTAGAGGTAGACCTAGATTAGATTACTGTTCGCAAATAGTTAAGGATGTGGGCTTTTCTAGTTTTAGGGAAATGCGAAGTTTGGCTCAGGATAAAAAAGAGTGGAGGTACGTGTCCAACCAGTCTTAGGACTGATGACCTTATGATGATTAACCGCTTATTAAAACGCTGTATTAAAATACAGATTGCAGTTTTGAATTAAATTTATTTTGTGTACAAGCACAAAACATTTTCTTTTTTTGGTACAAAGTCAACCTTTCTTTTTGGCGTTCAATCTTAAGCTGTGGTAAAAACTCAAAGTTAAATTATGTCCAGTACCGTCGCCATTCGTCACTCTCGGTTCCTTAGTTAGGGTCAGTTCGTGACGGTACGGTGCGACTTCTTAAAAACTACGTAAGGCAACCCTCTGCATGCTGTTAAAAAATATTTCTCTGTCTTACAATTTTTCCTGCACTTTCTCTTTCCAAGAAAAGGTTTCAAGAACGTTAATGGTGTGATGATCACGTGTAAACTGCAAATGTTTCGGTTTTACATACATTCGCAGCGAATGCCACTCCAGTTTAGGAAAATAGCAAATAAGTATGGATTCATATTAGTTTTTGACAATTTCAGTGTGTCATGCAGCGACGGTTGCGATCTGCAACAAGAATTCGGTGGATGTTAAGGACTCTACGATGTATATTTCCATGTTTCCGTGCAATGAATGAGCCAAATTGATAGTTGAAAATGGAATAAAGGAAGTTGTGTACCTATCAGATAAATATAAAGACGAAATACCAACAGTTGCATCAAAACTGATATTTGATGCAGCAAAAGTAATATTTAGGTAATACTTATATTACATCCAATATTAGAAATGCTATTATTACGTTAGTACCAGTAAGAAATATTTTATTTTTTTCAGGCGGATTAAACTGAAAAACCCGAAAATTGTGATAAGCTTTTCCGATATCAATGCTGTCAGTATGGATATAGATTATAGAGAAAATATATAACAATACATATTTGTATTAAACTTTTAGACAATTTATTTGTGGTATTAATTAACTGCTGAACATTAACAATGTTTAATCGATGAAAATACTGACCACATCTGAGGCAAAATACAAAATTAATTTTTTTTTTTTTCTTCATTTAAATAATTCGTACCGTCTATAAACATTCTGGAGCCACTTGCGTTTAGCTTATATCAAAGCAATGTTGTCAACTTCTCTTCAAATACGCAGATTAACCGAAAAATAGCTAGGTTATGTGAATAATATAACGGTTACTGAATTGCTTCGACATTTACATTAAAATGATATTGTAGCGAGCACGAGTGTGTTTGTGTGCGATCGGGAACACGTGTGCGTGAACGGCTTATCGATTTATGTGTGTGTCGTACCTGCGTTCTGGGAAAGCAATTAAACAGTTCAAAGAAAAAAGAAACTATCCGGATGTTTCTAGAAGGTTCCCGAAAGTAAACAAAAGAATATTTAAAGGAAGAGACGATCGCCGAGACGAGTAGAAATAAACTGACCGTTGCAGAAGTGAATCCAGAAATAAATTAACAGTGATAGCAGTGAAATAAACAGCGCAGTGAATAGTGATATATCAGCAGTAGTATAAGTAAATAGAATGATTCATAACCTAAGTTTAGTAATAATTATCAGTCTTAGAAGTAAATTTTGTTAAACCCACGAACATTACAATATATTTCAGTAGGTATTTGTAGACCACAGATTGTGATAAAATCATTTTACTATCTTGTAAACCGCTGTGTATTGATGTGGGATATGATATTTCCAAGGGTGCCCTGAGGGGTCAGAGGCAGGAAATTGTATCAACCTTGTAGCTTTTGACAGCGTCCTTGTCAAATCTTATTCATCTTTAAATTCACTGCAGCGCGCGGTTATTAATTTTCCTTTGAAACCAATACGGGTATTGGGTTTGTTAACTATAGACATGCAGAATAAATGAACTGTTAAGTTTAGAAAAATTTTTAATTGTATTTATTGTTACGTAGCAGGTAGTTATTGCTTAATTAAGCTATTGAAAAAAAATGATTACATATTTAATTTAAGCAATTAAAAAATAGGAAAGAAATTAGCAAAAGTTAATTTTTTTAGTATTCTTAAAGTACCTATATATATACAAAATTAAACGGTACATAGGTACATGCATTATTATAAACCTCTAAAAAGTCCAACTGATGATATTCCCGTGGGATTCTATTTTGCTTTCGTTTTGTGTGAAAACGAGTACTCGGATTTTCTCAGCCCTTAATCTCGAAAACCATTGGCTCTACGAAGATTTTGTAAAGAACCCGATTTATGCAGATTTGTCTCACAATCAAATTTTATTTTATTTTATTTTGGCTACCCGCAACTTCTGCAGCCGTCCATTTGACTACGGATTTTTGATAAATTACTTGTGACATCAAAACAAAAAGAAAATGTTCAGATTATTTTAGAGGTTTGACCTTCTTTTTGCCAAACAAGGTGAAGGTTAAATATTGCAATAAAGCAGTAGAATTTATTTTTTAGAAACAACAAATTATCTATTGTATTACTAAAAACGTTTACAAAATAAAATATTTTAACATGATAAAACAATCGAAAGTTGGTTACTTATAGGTACTTATGATAATACTTATTGCAGTGTTTCTAAATTTTGTTATCTGATTGCTTATCATACCTATCGTTATGCAGTTTTAAATAATAATATCATTATCTATACACATGCAGTATTAAATTAAAATACCACTTGGTGTACAGAAAAACGACTTCAATGACAGTAAGATTAATTAAAAGCAGACACAAATTTTTTATACAAAAACTATTACTTCGTCAAAGAATATATTGATTGCGTTTACACGGAGAAAATTAATTTTTTTATGACGATAAAATTTCAATTTCCGATTGTAAATAAATAATTTGCCGTGGAAATAATAGAATTTATTAGGTAACTTGTAATAATCTGAATATTGACAAGTTTTTTAAAAAACTATTTCAAGTTTCTTAATTATTACTAAGTAGTATGAAGACCAATCTTAAAATGAAAATTCTGGAAAAGAAGGAAGGTAGGAGTAGGACTTCAGTTCAACTTATTTTTTACTTGGATGTGTGATGTTTGTTTTAAAAGTTACACCCTGTAATAATCAGACGCTTCGGGCGTGTGATGCTTCTATTAATTCACCCTGTAATAATGACACTCGATTAATACCTCAAAATAACGCTGGGTAACGTAATAATTGTATTTATCTCGTTTTTTCAATACAGTTAATCTATCAGACAACTGAGCATTATAGATAAGGCGTTTACTTATAAATGCATTCACATTCTGCAACTGCATAGACAACAAAAGCTTATAATTCAAAACAAAAATGGCGACTGCAAGTCCTGGTCCGTCTATAGATAGGGATGATTACAACATGGCTATTGCTTTTCTTACAGCCAAACTAAGTAGTGATCCTGTAACGCGAGTTGGTGCGTGCATTGTGAAAGACGACGTGGTTGTTGGGATAGGATACAACAGAATGCCTAGAAATAGTGTTGATTTTTCTTGGGAAAAACATAACGATGACCCTTTAAAAAATAAATACCCTTACGGTACGTAAACCCAAAATATCTACATAATATAAGTTTCTTTTTAAACTCGTTTTGTTATCAATAGTACGGTGGAAGGGAAATTACATATTTTATCACTGCAATGCGTATTATCTTTCCGATACTACGTGCAATATTTTTATAAAGTTCAATGCTATATAACGTTCAATTAAAAAAAAAATATTATTTCGGTCAATTGACTGGTATTTTTACGTTTTCGGCACTACAGCATTTTTCTCACCCAGTTATATTACTTAATGTTGAATTTAACGTTGATCATGAGATGACCAAATGGTCATGCTGTCACACTTGATACAAAATAAAAACGATTACACGTTCTACAGAAAAAAGAATCCAATGATTCACCCAGACGAATATTGATAATGGAATGGAAATTAAACTGCTTCTTTTCATACTAATCGGTTGGCAACTTTACGGAAAAAATTGAAATTATATAATCTGCTACATTTATCATGTGTTTGTCTTTGTTAATTTTGATCGTTTTAGTATTTTTGGCAATTTTTATTCTTTTTGAACTTAAATAATTATCAGTCAAAAAAGAAACGTATTATTAATGATACTGATCTGTTTTTCGCATAATCTGTATATTTCGAGAGGATTTGTCAACTCTCACTTGGTCATGCCATATGCCTATCCTAATGGCTTGATGATCACGTGTACACTGCAAAGGTTTCGGTTTTACATACATGTTCGGTGTGGATGGGTTTCGATATATGTATCATCGTCATCGTAAGATCGTCAGTCCTAAGACTGGTTGGACACGTACCTCCACTCATTCCTATCCTAAGCTAAACTTCGCATTTCCCTAAAACTAGAACAACCCACATCTTTATCTATTTGCGAAGAGTAATCTAATCTAGGTCTACCTCTACCCCTCCTAACTCCTGTTTCTGCTTCTAATGTCTCTGACTAGACCTTTATGTCTGAGCAGGTGTCCTACCAACCTATCTCGCCTATTTCTTATTGACTTCCATAGAGTCCTCTGTTCTCCTATTCTTTCTAATACCTCTTNTCCTATCTTTATATTCGCTCTTTCTCTACTTTCTCTTCCCTTGCATACCAGTATTTTAGTTTTACTTTTATTTATTTTCATACAGTACTGTTTTGTCAGTACCGCTTCCATTTTATTTAAAGCTATCTCTAAGTCCTGCTTGCTAGATGCTAATACTGCTATATCATCAACAAATCTAACCACACTAATCTTTTGCCCCTGTATATCTATCCCTACAGTTGTACTGTCGCGTATTCGATGTATAAATTAAAAAGTAGCGGTGACAGTGTGCATTCCTGTATGACTCCCTTCCTAATATTTACTTCTCTACATTGCAGCCCCATCTCTATAACTGACTGTCGCTCTTTATACAAACTAAGTATCACTCTTCTACCTTTATAACTCATCCCTACATTTTTAATAATATTTAACATCTTGTCTCATTTAACATTGTCAAAAGCTTTTTCTAAATCTACAAATTCTATATAAGGACTCTTTCTTTTTTCTATCGTTTTCTCTATTGTTACCCGTATAGCTAGAATGGCCTCCCGCGTTCCTCTATTTTTTCTGAAACCAAATTGATCTTCTCCTAATAATTCTTCCGCCCTTTTTTCCATCCTACTGTGTACAATTCTAGTTAAGATTTTTGACGCATGGGAAGTTAAGCTAATTGTTCGAAACTTCTCGCACCTATCCGCGCCCCTCTTCTTAGGTAATGTTACTACTACGTTCCGTTTATAATCCTCTGGGACTTTCCCCGTTTCGTAAATGTGACTAACTAACTTAAACATACGATCTCTAACCTCTTGTCCTGCATGTTTTAGAATTTCCCCCTGTATCCCATCTACA